AGCTTTTGAGTGCAAGGAGCGTTTCTCGTCAGGAACCCGCACGCTGCCCGGGGAGAGCGACTCACCGCCCTGCTGCTGGGAATTACGGGACAGTTTTGCCATCTTCCGAAACCCAAATATTTCATTGCCTGTCTCATTTGAAAAATGAACAGAACTTGTCATCGGCATCGACGCTCAAACGATTCAAACCCCACGTATAGCGAACACCCTGTGAATCTGGGAACCTTGGCAGGAAATGCGTGGTCCTCCAGGAGAGTCTTACTGCTCTCCCGTTCTGCTGAGAATAAGCAGCAAACAGCTACAATTTCTGCCAGAAGGTAAAGACAACATTATGAAAAATTAAGCTGATGTTAAAAAAGAAAAAAAAAAAAAAAAAAAAAGAAAAAAAAAAGAAAAAAAAAAAAGAGGACGTTAATTGGCAGAATTACCCTGACAAGGAAAGTAAACAGTGTTGCTGGATAGTGAAAAAAACAGGTCATTAAAATGAAATGATCCGAAGCCAGCAGAATATCAAGGGAATAAAGCAAATTATGCAGTAACAAATGTGTCAAAATCCTTTGCAATGATGCCACTGTGTTGTTTGCCTTTCCACTGCTTGTTTTTGTTTACCAAACTAAACGAGAAAAGTTTTCCTCTAAAGTACTATTAGACAACATCAACTTCTTCACAAGCTCTTGACTCCAAAAGAAAAACATACGGCGCTGAAGCCTGGCTTTGTAAGCTGCTCTTGTTGATCTTAAAACTCCTTTCTAAATTAAAAAAGACAAAGAGCGTCAAAAAGTCTTCACAAGCAGCAACGCGTGCAATTGTCAAGCAATTCCTGCAGAGAAGGTGGAGAGGAATTTCAGAGAGAAGCCATGTCACTTCAGGTACCCGGCAATACCGTCGGGAGAGCAGCGATGAGAAAACTGTAAAGCGGAGACCGATAACGGAACTGCTAATTGCACTTCAGGCCGTCTGAGTTCACGCTGGCGTAGTGGGAATCCTGCGCTTCGAGACAATTTTAAGTTTCTCCCTCACAATCGATACACGTCATCCATAAATTTTAAAAACCTCACGCATTCTCTTTTTTTTTTTTCTTTGAGTGGTGGTATAGTTGGAAGGAAAATGTGATTCTCACTGAAAACACCGGCTTTTAGAAAGACGTAGCCCCTTTTGTCAGACGAAGATGAGCGTCACGACAGCTCTCCTGG